CATCATCATCATCATCATCATCATCATCATCATCATCATCATCATCATCAACATCATCATCATCATCATCATCATCATCATCATCATCAACGAAAGCATCAGCGTTCAACACTGATGCTCCGCTGCCGTACAGCCACAATTTAGTTGAATGACTTATTCTGAAATAATTGGTAAACGTTGACAGAATAGGGACTTGGTGCTAGCTTACCGCAGTCATTCCGAGGTCACTACACCTCCAGACACTCGTTTTGGCAATCGGATTAGAAACTGACAAAAGAAACACCAATTGCATCGATTGGAAGCCAGAGTTTGCAGCATTTCCAACCAGGCGCGGTGTGAATTAAGCGGTCCCCATCCAAAATTGCGAGTCACCACAAACAAACCCAGTGCTCGTAATCTTCTTCATACCTTTCTGCCACTTTTGCATTTTCGAAAGACACTTGTCCAACTCAGCATCAGCCCATGTCAGAAAGATAAATCCTATAAGAACGCTTTCTCCCGGTGCACTCATACTGGTAAAAACCCCATAAGTCATAGTAAAGCAGCGCCCGCTAAGAGGACCCCTGTGATAACATAAACCATGAAGTGAGCAACATAATTCTGGCAATTTCAAGCATAGGACTTTTTCCAAACTAATCAAAGCCAACTATGACTGTTGGAACTTGTTTGTCGAAAACGCTACGGTGAACAAAACTTCAAGGAAAGCTCAACTCTGTAACCAATAGATCAAGCTGTCTGTTCTACTTCGTAGCTAGGAGACGGCATAATGATATTTTCACATAAAACGTCGATTCTGGTTATCCATACAGTGGATCAAAATTTGTCATCGGTTTCACCAAGGAAGAACTGCATGGTGCGGGGTGAATACAGCTATATTTAAGCAAGCAAGTGCACCAACAACTCAGAAAATATTCACGGTATCATTAGTGTGAAATGCTGGGAAGATATGGTAGACCAGCCGTAACATCATCTTCGATACCACATTCATTGTATCCTCGAAGAAACCTCACATATCCTTTCTCACCCCAGTCTTCGTTCCAGGAGTTGGCGATCAACCAGTAAGGAACATCGCCCTCCTCGCCCCAACCCAAAATACGAATTGCATGCCCGCTCATCGGCGCACCCCAAGCGTGGAAGTATACACCGGATTTGTACTGGAGAAAGTCTTGGTACACGGTGAAAACGGCCTCAACCGGACCCCGGAGCATGATCTCCTTCATAATCGATATTTCTGATGCGTATATATTGTAGGAGATGTTAGCTGAAAGAATAACATTTGAACACTGTACACATACACATCTGCCTATTATAAAGTTGGATTTGATGTACGGCTAATTCGGATCAATAAGGAACATCCACTTAAATTAAAAAAAATTGTTTTCCCCCAACGGTCTTGAAAAACGTTTAACGGAAGTCCTCACTTTTGACCAAATAAGTTAAGTAACCAGTGTAACTACTCTGCCTCTTTGTAGATTCGTGGAGGTATTTTGGAAAACAGAATTCGTTTGCAGTTTTAACAGTAACATGACTAACTGAGCACGTAATTTCCAGTTCACTTCGCATTCGGTAACACTCAGGAGATGACTAGTGTGCAGACTTTCTTTGAATCTACTGTAGATGAGTTAGACAACTTAACATACAAAAGACACAACTATCATGTCAACAGATGTGCTTCGCCATTCACCTTACCTCTCGTCTTATCCTCCAAGTAACCCAATTCTGGCGTGTCACAGTCCTGGACGCATTCCGGTGTGGGGTAGATTTGACGCGGACATGGCGGATAGTGTCCTTGAACATGATGGTCACATTTCGGAAATGGATAAGACCTGCATCCACTTGGATCTTCTTTTGAACCACCTGTGACAATGCCGTGAGTCCTCCAATAGTCCCACGCCACAGCAGGATATCCTCCACGACAACCGAATCCACAGTCCTTACAACAGGAGAGCAAGTCTACCGCACTGAGGCTTTTGTTGAAAGAACCATTTGAATGAATGCACAGTCGATCACTCATGGCTTCCACTGCCCCGAACGCCTGGAACGAAAGCGCCATTTCCAATGGAAAAAATAAACACCCGTTGTGTAATCATTCAGAAGTCTTCTTTTTTTGTGAGAACGCAGACGAGGTAGAGTTTATTTTTTCAAAGTACTCGCACACAGCAAATCAGAATTGGTGAGCATGAGCGTTCCATAAATAGTCTACCGAGAAACGTAGATGAATACCGTTCGATAATCAAAGATTCGGCAATGGTATGGCATGCACTAGACAATCGGTTAGATTTGGAAAATGTGGACATTCTGAGACAGGGTTTAGGATTCACACCGCAGCTACTGGTGGCCGAGGCGGTAGAAATCACCAAGTGTCTCAGCGTAAATAGGATAGAGTGGGTAGAACTTGCCAAGGTGCGGCCTTAGATCAGCCGAGATGATAGGAGACGGTGTGCAGTTACCAGCGAAATGGTCTGGGTCCAAAAGTACAAGATTCAAATAGAGTTAGATCCAATTAACAACCCCCATCCCTAAACCAATTGTCCCGGCACCCTTTGACGAACACAGGTGATCGAAATTTGTGAACGACCCCAAGAGGAATTTTCCATCAAGGTGTCCCAGACTGAAGAAGCAAGGTCGAAAAATCCGGGTTCAACATCAAGACAAATCCTCTCCCTCTATCGTAAATGTTAGTCATCCTCACTAATCAACAAACAGTAACATCAGACTGAACAGCCAGCACTGATCAAGTCGGCCAGCCATAAGAAATCTCACGGATTGGTTTCCTGGATGTCTTAAAACCCAATCAACCTACTTACTTACTCAATTGGCCTGACGAAGCTTTCGTGTCAAAACCGAAACGTTGCCCAGCCATAAATCCACCGATTGTTTACCGAACCTCTCTGAAACGATGACTTCCTAATCGTCCTCAACCTTTTCCATTTGCCAGTAATTTCTTGTTTGAGCCACAGGATGTATTTAGACGGATGATTCCGCCGAGTAATTCAATCTTTCCTCTATCAACTATCCATGTGAAAGCGTAGCGCGTGGATTCCTAGGCATCCAGAACTATAGGAGCCTGGTCAGACAATCTTGGGGGAAACTGAAAACCAAAGTGTTGTTGACGTCAGTCAGGCGCCACTTTCTTCAACGCGTCGACCGAAGCTTTGCTTCTCCCTTATATCCTTATTTCTGAGTTTCATTCTTCTAGCTCTCTGAGTCTACATGCGGAGGACTTAGGCCGGTCAACGCTCTTCACATTTCACTAAACTTTCTTTCAGGGAAACGAATCAGCACTTGTGTTAAGCATCAGAATTTAGACATGACATGGGCTGACGGTTGAACAATATTCATCGAAGAGCAAAATTTCGCATTCGTCTGTCAGAGTAAGTGAGCGGTGTTTCATTCACAACTCATGCCCAAAAATGTTCCGCTTACCCAACACGATCCACAACTGGATTGATCTCTGATCTCACTGACGGAAGAGCAATGCGGCCATTTAGATCGTGCATCAAAGTTCTTTGGGAGACGCGTATCATCAAAACCCACATGCTTGACTGTTGGCCTCTGCGCTTTTTGTACTGCAGTTTCCCTCTTGGCCCCGAAAGTGTGAATTAGGCCGTCAGATTCCAATATTTTCGAATGTCTTCCCAGATATCCACGTGCTCCAGTCTGGAGTAAGAAGACGATATGTGAAAATTCTGTTGATCAGTAAGCGCGGGATGATCCTCTCATGTTCTTTGAGGTTTCACGATGATCCGAACACATCCAGCAAAAAGTTAGCATTCTTCTTTTTTTCAGAGCCCTCTTGTAGCATAAGCTTTTTGAATCTAGATGGATGCGAGGATGTTCAGTCGAAGTGAAGTAGACGAAAATGTCTCTCAGTCATGCCAACGAAATGGACAAAAACAGGCAGACCGATGTTCATCCGAAGGATTTACCTAACCGATCGGATAAAATCAGGCGAAAAACCTTTAAACGCATATGGAGATTGGTAAGAGCTTGCAGGTTAAATTAAATGCGCTTATTGTTCAGGATCAACAGGTTTGTTTGGTGAACTGTATTTCATCAATATATTTTACCAAAACCTATAGGCCTTCTGTCAGATAGGTGTTCTGGAATGAAACACCGGTGTGTTAGTCCCAGATTCAAGGAACCGAGCACTTGGTCGTGACGGAATAAGGTGTCTACACATCCATGCATTAATGATTGTACAAATGATCAAATATAAAAATGGTGAGTAAAGGTGAGTGTTCATTTCATCGTGAATATGATGAGGTTTGTCCAACTGGCCTTCATTTGTCAGGTCGACTCAGGACTGCCTGCAGTTGGGAATATAAATTTGAGTGCATACTGTCGAATGTTGGAAAGCGATGAGTAGACGGGAAAACGATCCGATTGCCAGTGGAACATAGCGAGGGAATCAGTAACCTGCTGAAAATTTTCTTGGGTTGATGGAAACGACTGAAGTGATATACGACTGTAGTTCATTCGGGATAACCTGCCGTGCTTTCATTAAAGATTTGTTTTTATGTTCGCGGTACGCGGAATGCTCCTCTCATCACTCAGAGCATGTTCGATGACCTTCATCCAAACTCATCGACTCTCCTTGAACATCTGGTACCATAGGGTAACAATCATTCTCTTGTCGTGATTTATTGATCTCTATTTATTAATTCACACCGGTTCTGGTTAAAATATGTACACACCATTATCCAAAAACGTATGCAGACTCTCACTCGTTCACCATGCAGTTGTAATTTGCCAGTTATAATTCGTCAAACTTGCATTGCTGAGCAAATAAGCTGAATCTTTGTTAATCAGGGAGAGTGGTTGCATGGTTCAAGCAGATAATTGACTCACAATTGAGTGTACATGTTCTCGCAGTCCTACATCTTCAAGTTCTTCACACTGGGCGTCTTGGAAACTGTTGACGAAAACCAGAATAGCGTATGATATAAACAGCAGTAACATGCCCACTAAATGTTCCACAAACCACTGAATTTCGCATCATTTATACCGAATGCCAGTGAACTTTTATGTTGGTTGAGATTCGCACTTTGGCATTCAGATTCTCGGCGAACGGACTCTGGAATTTTTTGTCATATCCAACGTTTTGAAACACCATGGGATCCGGCGTGGACTTTGTTCTCGGTGCAGCAGTCCATGGACCGTGGACGAAAACCGTTTTGTACGGTAGTTCCGATTTTCACTTTTAATCGCTTTCGAGTTTGGACTGCAAGGCAATTTACTGCATGCCACGTGATTTTGGCCCGCTAATCTCGACTAAGCAGTGACTATGACCCAGTTCTTGAAACATGAGAGTGGTGGTCTTGTTACATCTTCCAGTCTGAAATTTACTTGACTTTGTATGTACATGTCGTTAGGCCACACGTCTACCCATTTGCAGTAAGTTCCACGCCACACACCATTGACCACTATGTTGTAAGTATTCGGCCCACCATTCTCCCACAACTGCCACATGTTTGCAAGTAATTTTCATCCACTTTTACTTGGAACCAATTCAACCAGTTAGACGGATGTTCGTTCCGTTGACTGAGAACATAATGGGGATCGATACAAAGACTCCTCGATGGGACGAAATCCTCGTTAATCCAGAATCCAGGAACTATAGTAGGCAAACTGACCTCGTAACCGGAGTACAAGGTGGTGTGTGCCACAAGAAACAGTGTCGTGTATCCAATGGATCCACCGACCGCAACAAATAATATGCTGAACAGACTGGAAGAAAGCTTTTTACATGAGTACAGATACACATTTGTTTAGGGACAATACATTCTCCAATTTCTTTGCATGCGGATAGGGAAGCTAACTATGGATCTAGTAAACATAAAGATCGTGGTACATGGAAGTAGGAGACACGGATGGGGGCTCCTTGGAACCCGGTACTTCACACGCGATTCAACCAACCGACATATCAAAATCGACGCTTTCTGCACACTGTGGCGATCGGCCGACTGTCACGTCAATGATACTACCGAGTCAGTGTCGGTCAGCATTCTGACCAACGGCTCAATAATTGGAACTCACTGTAAGGACAAACGAACAAGATTTACGGCGCGAGGCCGAATAGAATTATACTCGGACTTATGCCGATCAGAAAACAGGCCAAATGGCAGGCCAGAAAGAATAATCATCGAGACCATGAAGGTCTAATCAAGGTCAACATCGCAAAATTATCATGTGTGGTATTTAGAACCCGAATTTGTATCTTATTAGAATGCAAAATACTGCAACAGGCAAAAGAATTTTCAAACGCTATTAATTGGTACGGCCGATATATTGGGAAATGATCGTGGTACATGGAAGTAGGAGACACGGATGGGGGCTCCTTGGAACCCGGTACTTCACACGCGATTCAACCAACCGTCATATCAAAACCGACGCTTTCTGCACACTGTGGCGATCGGCCGACTGTCACGTCAATGATACTACCGAGTCAGTGTCGGTCAGCATTCTGACCAACGGCTCAATAATTGGAACTCACTGTAAGGACAAACGAACAAGATTTACGGCGCGAGGCCGAATAGAATTATACTCGGATTCATGCCGATCAGAAAACAGGCCAAATGGCAGGCCAGAAAGGATAATCATTGAGACCATGAAGGTCTAATCAAGGTCAACGTCGCAAAATTATCATGTATGGTATTTAGAACCCGAATTTGTATCTTATTAGAATACAAAATAATGCAACGGGCCAAAGAATTTTCAAATGCTATTAACTGGTACGGCCGATACATTGGGAAATGCGCAAGGCCACTTACTCTAGATAAAAGCCAGTGGACAATTCTCGGGATATCTTGAAGCTCATCATCCAGAAAACCGATAAGCCTTATGCAGAAGGCAGCCGGCAGCAATCGGTGTGCAGAAAATATACACCAGATACTCGTCCAAAACAAGTCGTGCGCTTGGACTATGAAAGTGCGAACCAACTGCGCAAACAGTCTCCAACGTGAGATAGTCGCTTGTGCATAGGGTTGGCCCCAAAATGGCTGGATGACCTCAAGGTCAAATAGAGGAATTGGTACGGACAAATAAACGCCAGTTCACACGCCTGCATTAAACGCGAAAATGGAGCAGGGACATAGGAAACAAAGGGAATTTCAGACATCAAAATAATCCATGATACAAAATCACAGAAGGAACGAGTTATTAGCTATCCAGGAGAAAACGTTTACGCTTAGCCTTACCTGCTGCGTCTGGCAAGATCAAGAGGCATTTATACCTATCTTTGGGCGGATGTGGACCCACGGAACGCTCTCAACTGTAAACTTGAGAGCCATGAACAGCCAATGAAAGGTGGAAGTTTATTTCTTAGTCAATTTTGCTGAGGCGTGCACGTAGGTGTTACTTCCCTTGATGGACAAGAAGGGAGAGAGTCTGAGACGTAAAATGTATGTGGTACTGCAAAGTGCTTATTTCATTGTGTTAACTTATCCGCAACACCATCAGAAAAAAACCTGCACTGTGCTTAAATACCAGTTTGATGGTCATGTAGTAGACAAAGTCCCAGTATGCTGCTTTTATAAATAAAATGGGTAAAACGGATACCAAATACCAGAAGCGATCTGCAAACGCTGTTGGTCCCAGGGTTATAAACTCCGGTATACCACACCGAACGACAGACATGCTTGAGATTTATTCAGCGTCCATTCACAACCGATTGCTTATGCAAAGAAGTGGAAACGGTCTTGATCACACTGGTGATTGAAAAAAAACCGTGAACCAGACACTCGTCACGTATAAGTGTCACTGAAATTGATGGAAACATATTCCAAAATACGGCAGTATTGAATGTGACGTCCCGAGACATGAGTTTTACACGGCCGGCTGAGCGTCATCAATTAACCTTTCAATCGATAACAGTACCGAAACGTTGGATGATTGTACCAGTCCTGTTTTGTGGAGTTCTTTCAATCACAGACCAAGTTGAGGTTTTCCTCGATTTTTAGATGGCGTGGACGGTGAGGGTGACTTCTTTTGGTACGGGTCCTTATACCCTAGAGGATCCGGACCGCGTATCCTTTGGTGAGAATCCGCAAACTCGTCTCAGCCTGGCCTGTGGTACAGGAATGAGGGAACCTGAGTTGTGTTCTATTCAGTCCGACGGCTTATCATATCAGGGGAGTGCTGCATCCGATGCTAAACTAGGTGATTGTCGGCAAACTCGAGGAACAGCGGTGAAACTTGGGTAACCTTAGAAGATAGTGAATTTGTTCTTTGCTTTAGGTTAATTCAAACCGTCTGCTTTAGAAGATGAGCTTTTACCGGAAGTGCTTGCTATTTGACTGCTTATAATCGGTTTTCGTCTGGCTTAACGATACTTAACGATACTCGTGAGCCGTGAAAAAATCTCTAGGAAGCACTAACACGCATCTTTGTGTTTGTGCTAATGTAACTGACCAAAGAAAGGTCAGATTACCAGTACTTTTAGTGGTAGCTTCACAGGCTGTTATCCAGGTACTTTTGTTTCAATGGCTTTCCTTTCTGTGTTTTTGTGGTCTCCTTCTAAACTGGCCACGACTCATGGTATCACACCCCCTATTTGATTGGTTGGTCTTGCACTTTTGTTGAACAATCGATTAAACGGCTGTTTTTCCTCTATTCCGGGATTTCAATCTATTGTTTGGATGTATAACCTGGTCAAATATTTTTATTGTTCGATTTGGGCTTACACTCGTCCTTAGTAATCCCCCTCTTTTTGAGGAGTTCCAGGTATACCTGTCTGCTATTTGGTGTGAAACATGGAAACTTTGAGTCAAAATATCCTAGTGGAACGACAATTTGTACTTAGATATTCTGGAGCACTTGGCACCATTATTAAAACACTCTTACAATCGTTGGAATGCAGGTCCTGTTGTCCAGATATGCTTCATTCTCCAGAGCTATAAAGAACGTCGCTCCTACGTGTATTCTACTGTTGTATCGTGGGTGGCCATCTGCTGGTTACGCCTGTAATGAGTATGCCAGACCACGCGGTAGGAAGACATAGAACTCGGGACACCGCTGTATTGTCAGGACAAAACATACAGAGCTTCTGCGCATATATATAGGATGACCAAGTGGCCAAATATGGTCGTTCACTTGTTCGTTCAGTACAGCCAGTGGCGGTGTTCCGGTCGTGAACAATTTCAGCCTTCCTCCACTGGTCTTATGTTGCTAAGCTGTGCTTGGTGCGCTCCACCAACGCACCTGCTTTTCGAACATGTCGTACTGATGGTGACCTTGGGAATCCGTCACTCTTTTTTTCCATGTCTGGGCGCATCCTGACACCTACCCGCTCACTGCAGTGTGAATATACTGTCGAAGTCGATCTGATGGTCGGGCTCGAGTGCGTGGATTCACAGACTGAAACGTTGCATCTATACCTTCCCCAGTATTCGACGACTGGGTGTGTCCACATCATCCAGCGGCTTCCGTTTGCCTGAAAGGCGCAGGGGTAATAAGGGCGCTTCACTACAATTTAAGTTCTCAGCACCGAGCCATAAGCTTGCCAGAGCGGAAACGTACGTAGAAAAACATCAGAAACTGCTTCGAAATGGGTTCTAGAAGCAGAATGAACAACCTTCGCAGGAGGGCTACTCCAGAAAACAGCCACCTGGAGCAAGAAATAATTACGGGCGTTACTGAACCGTCATATAACACTTTTAGTCTGTCCATGGAGTGCGTTTTGAAGTATGACGCAAGTGGTGAAGTCCTCATAATTAGCACAACTTTCGGATCAATAAGTAACATGCCAGAAGAGGACATGAAGATTGTTCATAGACGAAAGAAGGGAGCCCAAACACAACGGATAATTTCTGATTAAATTAATATCTCAAAATGAATAAATAAAGGCACTGATTTGACTAAGCGTGCGGAAAATCAGACAAGAAAATCCAGGCAAGTAGCACGAATGATCACACTATAGATAGGTGAATAATAAGGACACGACCGCACAAATTAATGGGGTTCAGATTACGACGCAAAACAGACTGCGTATGTCCCAGTGGCATGATGAGACCGATGTCATACGGTTGGTTACTCATATCAAGGGGTACGAAGTACTCTTTGAAACCACTAACATGACAAAGCTTCTCACTGCCTCCTGACGGTTTTACCCAGATTGGTGACGTTTGAAGACCAATAACTCCAGGTGAAGAGACCAACGGTCAACGCGTAGCCGATGTTGATTTGTCATTTTTCTTTGCTGTTCATCCGAAAGTAACTTGGACCTCCTGGTTTGGTTATGATTTCTATTATCAAAGTGAGAGTCTTTTCTTGGAAACGCCCAATCTCCAGGTCCATCGTTTTCTCTGTTCACCAGATTCCGAGAGCTCTCGCCTATTTATTTATTTGTCGCATATGTGCTCAAACCAAAAACCATCCTAATCTACATTCACATTTGCAGCTCACCGAATTTCATTGTCCACCGAAGCAATGACAGGTGTAGCGGAAAAATCTGGTGGAACGATTTCCAAGCAATACTGCGACCCCGAGATGCCTAAATGGGCTCGAAAGTTCGGACTGATACCCTGAACTTAATTGCCCGATTTCTTTAGTCTATCAGAGACACAACACGGCTTTCGAAAATTCAACTCCATTGCGCGAATACCGAGCGCCAGCTTAATGATTAGGGGTTACAGCACCGAGGGATTCAGAGAACGTTGGAACTGAACGTTGCGTCAGTGACCGGTAAAAAATCACATGGCCGTACCACTGTCGTTGGTTGTTTTCAGGTCTTCAAACAAATCATCAGCTAAAACGAGTGCTCAAGGAGGACGTGATTCAGTTCTTTTAGGATACACTTCTCACTAGCAATATTCGTCAGATGAAATTTCGGATCCCAGGATTGTCGGAAAACTCTGAAACTAGTCGTGCGTTCATCCAAACAGCAGCAGTTTTTACATGGTAATTCTCATCCCGCATTTGAGGATGATCGGTGCCTGAAATCCCAGAAAGCCTACAATCTTGGTTTTCCTAATGAATGTTATCCGCGTTGCCCATCGAAAGAAACTCAGTGTTTCGATTTACGTGTACCATGATTTCTCGAATATCGTAGAGACTGGAACATGAGGCAGCCTGGTGCAGCACATTCAGTTACCTGGATATATCATAAACGAGAGATTCCAGGTGAGTCTATCGCAAAACTAAATTAGTTTGCAAATGAGTGTAGTTCACCAATTTCGTGAAATTTGGTTTCAAGTAGTTCATAAGGTTGACGGAAAGTCGGGGACTGCGTCCACCTGATGAGCCCCAACGAATGTGAAGCCGGTCATGGGCTGTCGAATAATTTTGAGCAACTTATAAGTAGTGTCTTACGTCTATACGGGCGCAAAGACATTGAACAAGCGTCCTGGTGCAGCACATTCAGTTGCTTGGAAACATCATAGACGAAAGATCCAGCTGGGTTCCAGGTGAGTGTATTTCGCGATACTCATCTGTTACTTTTAGCTGTAGTCACTAATATGGGGTAAATGCATTTCGTGGAACACTTTGATTAAAGCCGTCAAAAATCGATTGACTCCAGGTATCCTCACTACGTGCCGGATTAACTCTCATACACATTTTTCGTTCGGCTCAATAGTATATCATGTATCGCCGAGAATGAAGTCCACGCCAGAACGCGTGCTGTTTTTATGCGCTTACGCTTGAAACGTTCAAAATGATAAAATCCAGAGTGCGTTTATACCGCTTTTGACTAGCCAGGTGCAAATCGCGAACGATATGAAAGTCCACTGGCAGCCAGTATAAATAACGCAAAATGCCATTGATTTGTGGAAGCTCTAGTGACCATGCTGAAGTTAATCGTATCATACACTCTCCTACTTTGTGTCTACAGCTTGCTACTTTGTGTCTACAGCTTTCGTGTCACACAGTGCGAGCAATTGGACTATCTAGGAGCGCAAGAACATGTAGATCCGACTGTAAGTCAATGATCTGTTCAGACTTAAAAGAACTACCTTATGTTTTTGTGCAAAATCGATGGGAATTTTATAATATATGAGTATGTTATTCAATTGACCCAAGAAAAATACTTTTTTCTATGACGCATGAGTGAGGTGAATAGTTTTCGTTCGCTTTATGACATTGGAAAGTCGGTCTCCAAAATGGATATTTTGTGGTGCTTTCTCCATAAATTAGGCATCCAAACAGCATGCAACCGAAGGTACCGCGGACACGAATCGTCCTAGCTGAAAATCGTTTTGACTCTGTAGAGCAACCCGAATGTGACGAATGTGATAAAAGGGAGGACAAATGATAATTAGATGGGCAAACATTTGAGAGTCAACCATCATCGAAAGAGCGAATATTTGCTAGTCCATGGTGTCACGTGTTCGGAGAAGCTCTATGAGTGCGAATGAAGCTCACTGAACATGCAGAGTATCCCTTTGATCTGAATGATGTGAAGATCGTGCCATGTACGGAAAACAGAATGACCACTCGTGATTTATCCTGACTGCACCATAGTTGTATATCCCATTAATCGTTTTCGTCGACGCAAGAATGTTTTTAGGAAGTTATTGATCTCCCCGCCATGTTGAGCCGACCACCTGATGGTTTTACAATCTGTCCATCGCTTTGCGACTCCAACCAAAATTATATTTCCAAGTTTGGCAAGGTTCTAAGGCGAATGAACAACTGAAGGCCGCTCCTGAAATGGATCATTTCAATCGGACAAACCTCATCATATTCATGATGAAATGCACTTCACTCACCAGTTGCATTCCAGTCATTCGAATGGCTCAGCAAGCCTGGATTCGCAGGACGTTATTTTGTCACAATCAAGTGGTCAGATACACCACAGACAAAACAAATAACAACCCTAAAGATGCAATTCAAACCTTGGAAAAAATAATTGTTGCTGGTACGAATGAAGATAATCAGGCTGAAACAAGCCAAGAAATCACAAAGAACTGCTTCAAAATGCATATGCTAATTTTGTGGAAGAATATCCGTTCTTTATCTCATTTGTTCTTGCGTAAAACTATCGAAATGAGCATGTCCCGCACTTGTAATTTTACGTTTAAAAATTTTTAGGTAGAACCTGTTGGTCAGTTGTGTTCGCTAGTAGGCCACCGTGTCAGAGGTTTATTGCAGAATACTTAGCTGGTAAATGAACCGTACCAGACCACAGTACGTTACGAATGTCGTGCGCCATGCTACTTAAT